CAGGTTTCAAGGCTGGGGCCAGAGGAGAGGGCAAGGACAAAAGGGGGGGGGGTGGCTCAGCAGCACGGATCCAGCTTCAGCCTTGGCTTTGAGGGAACGAAGGCCATCAGCCCAGAGGAGATTTCTAGGGCCACCAGCCATCCTAAAAAGGAGGCACAATAGGAGGACAAATTTGACTGCATAGTATCCAGCCCCTGTTCAGTACTATCCCAAAATCTGCACAATGGCCAGTGGTCAGGATCCTGTCTACTGTAACTGTCATGGAGTGACAGGCCATTACGCTGACCTGGAAAGTGAATGCTGTGCCCCACAGCCCCTGAGGCACACACAGCCAGTGCATCCTCACCTGGCCAGCTCCAGCTCAACATGCAGCTCTAGTATCACAGACAGTCCAGAAGGATCCGAGAGGGAGGCCTCTGGAGAGACATCCAGAGTGAAGGGGACAGACCACCTCCTGTGGCTATGTGCCTCCCTAAGAAGATGCCACTGTGCCCTGCACGTGGAGGACAGTCAAGTCCATAGCTTGGTTGGCCACAGCCCCCAAGGTCACCTGAGGTGAAGAGGAGGAAATATTGCAGGACATAAACAAGGTGTCCAGACCTGGCACTTAGGATCTGGTCACTAGAGGGCGCTCCAGGATCAGACCTGACTCCCAGGCAGCCCTTGCCCTGATTTGGAGGTTTGGCGGACAGGCTGCACATTTATTCATTCGACATGCATCTACTGAACAATGACTTTGCGCCAAACACTAAGTGCTATGAAGGGTACAAAATGATTGAAATGTGAGTCACGTTTCATTAGAAAGTTGGTATTAAAAGCAAAAAGTAGTGCATCCATATTTATGCTGGTAACTCCTCCTTATTTGATGCCACTGTCTTGAATCTTCACACACAGCACCCCCCACCACCACCATGTAGGCACGGCTGAGCCCTCTCTCACATCTTTGCCTCAGTGTCTACTTCTCCTAAGCCTACCTTTCTGCCTAATTTTAAAGCTCAGGATCCCCAACCCTGTTCCTCAGCTCCTCTAAACTCATGGAGCTTATCATCAAAAAAAATACATTCATTACCTCCATTGTCTGTGTCCTCCCAGAATGTAAGGTCCAGGAAGGTGGAGGATCTGCCTGTGTTCACTGATGGACACGGTGCCTAGAACACTGTGTCACACACAGTAGGCATGTGGCAGGTGACACTTCCAATGAGCTCCAAGTACATGGAGTATTCCTGAGGTTTGGGGGTGGGAGGTTAGATGCCCCCCGTGTATTTTCAGAGGAGGTGACATTTAAGCTGGCCCAAAGGATGAGGAGCAATTCACAGGTTAGAAAAGACAGGAAGGGGCAGAGCAGACTAAGGGGACCACAGAAGGCTCAGGGTTGAGCTGCACAGGATAGTCCAGAAGCTCCCCCTAATCCCATGCTCCCTGCCTCAGGCCCAGCTCTGAGCAGGGATCCTAGACAACAGCTGGGCTCTGCCTGTCTGCCCACCTGGGCCTTCCCCTCACCTCCATTCCTGTGGCCTGCTCCCTGCGCTGGGTATGGGTTTCGTGGCATTTGTTACCATCCTGACAAAGGCCAGCCTGTGCCCCTCCTGTCTCAATTATATCCTCCCTTCTGCCACTAGGAAGAAACAAACTGCACAGCTCCGGGAAAACAATCCATCATTTTGTCATAACATTTCCATTTCAAAGACTTCCTTTAGGAGCTTCTCCCAGACCAGCCGCTTCCTCTCATTAGCATGAGAACTGGCAGGGAGTTGAGTGACAGGGAAGGGAGAGGGGCTGGGAATAGGGCTCTGGGCCTGAGGCCTTTACTGGCCCACTCAGGGGGAGGATGTTGGTGTGTGGGGTCCTGCGTGCACGAGTGCATGCGTACACTTGCGTCTTTGTGAACTTGTGCATCTCTGCATTCGTTATTCATGCCGTGAGGTCAGGGATGTGCCTTCTCGAATCAAGGTATAAGCCACTCTGGGGCACTGGCTGAGCCTCCATGGGGTGCTAAGTACTCATCTGGATGCCAAAGATTCAGAAAGGAAAGACAGACACCGGGGCTGTCATCTGCACCTCAAAGGGAGATAGATGTGTCATCCCATCACCAAGACCAAACTCTTCACAAAGCTGTTGTAAAGAGCACTGCTGAGCAACCAGGAGGCAGAGGAGTGGGGATGTCATCTCAGAGGATGTGACATTTAAGCTGCCTGAAGGATAAGAAGGCAGAGGAGACAGCAGGCGAAGAAGATTCCAAGGCACGCTGCAGGTGTTTAGGTGCCATTTAGGCAAAATGACAGTGGCAGCTAATGGCTACCGAGGTTCTCTCTGCTGCCCTCTCGTTGCCTGGGCCTAGTGAGCCAGCCCTGCACTTCAAAGGGCCTCCTCCACCCTCCCAGCTCCTTCCCAGATAGAGATGTGCTGATGGCCCCCTGGCCCCTTCTCAGCTTCATAGCTGGCAGAGGACCCAGATCTGGGCCTGGCTGCAGAGCCCTCAGGGTGGGGGAGGCTTTGCAGAGCCCAACGACCTGAAGGCAGCTAGTCCACCTCCTCTCTCTTCAGAGTCCTCCCAACAGGCACAAGGAGAGTCCAGGGGGACAGCAAAGGAACCGGGAGTGGTGAGCAAGGGGAGGGAGCCAATATCGGAAGTCACAGACCAAGAGAGCAGTGTGACTCTTGAAGTTCTCACTGATTGAGTGGCTCACTGGGGCGTTCCATGAGTCAGGCCCTTTGTCCTCGGGAGGCCACAGTCTGTGAGGGAGATGGACAAGGAAATAAACAAGACTAGGCACCAGCCTGGTAGGAGCATCCTAAAGAAATGAGGACTGATTTGAGGTCTGAAGGCTGATTAAAAAACAGATGGGGGTTGACATGTGAAGAACATTCCAGGCAGCTGTGTGCAGAATTGAGGCCAAAAGGGCGCTGCACTACCCACACCCGGGGAGCCCCAGGAGGCAGATGATACACACACCTGACTCTCTGTACCCTCACTGACTGTTCATGACAGGGACTGACACCAAAGCCAGGTGGTCCTGGTGGATGGGGGCCATTTAGTCCAAGCCTCATATTTATGAACGTTCCCATATTTAGACTTTCTTCATTATCTCCAACTGAGGTTTGGGAGTTTAAAATTCAATCGTGAAACGCAAGCCATTGAAATATACAGCACAATTGTTATAAGCTCATTTCATATTTTGTGGGAGGGGGGGTTGTGGGGTTTTTTAATTTTTTTTTAATCTGTAGGACGACGAAAAATAATGAAAAAGTGGCCTAATTCTGTCTCACTCTTGGCAAATAGTTAGTATTGGTCCTAGATAAGGAAAGCGAGACTTAGAGAAGTCACCCAAAGCCAGCACTGCCTCCTCAGCACCACGCCTGCTTTCCTGGTCCCTGAGGCTCAGACAACAAGGCCTGTCCCAGTGGGCATATGCCCCATCCTTGAAGTCCTGGATGTACTCCTAAGGCCTCCACCCCAAGCCACCCCAGGCTCCTCAGCTCACCCTCCTCCTCCATGTTACCCCCACACATACACAAGCCCAGCCCTGCCCCTTCCCTGCTAGAGGCCAGGGATGCTCCACTGACCCATGCAGGCCCTATGGATGGAACCTCACTGCCCTGGGTTCCTCATCTTGTGTTTGGGTACAGCTGAGAAAGACCCCAGGATATGCCCCCGGGTGGGCTTGTCAAGAGCATCCCATCTCACCTCCCACTGGGACAAAGAATCAGGCAACCAGACTCCTCCTCTTCATATCCCACCTCAGAGTCTCTTCTGTGAAGCAGTGTCACCACCAACCTGCAGCTTCCTGCCCCTTGGGACTGGCTGCCCTCCTCTCCTGTTTGCAGAGCCAGCCAGGGTAGGGATGGGAAATAGATAGCAAATAGCCCTACCCTTTCCAAGGCCTCCTGAGAGTTAACCCACTCTGCACGAGCAATTTCAAGTCCAATCACTCTATTTAGGGTAGGGAGAGAGGGCGGACAGTCTGGCTCTGGTTTGGAAAACAGAAGCCTGATCAATTTGCTGCCCATGAGAAGGGAAAGATTGTCAAAAGAAGAAGGTGCAAAGAAAGAGGAGGGAGGCCACGGAAGGGTGACCCTTGGCAGAGGACTGTTCAGAGTTGGCCAACCTGACCCCAAGCCTGGGTCTCCCCCAGAAGCTTGTCTTGCTGCCCACCAAGGCAACCGAGGGCCTCAACCGAGCATAACAGTACCCACCTGCATCCCCTGATCTGGCCCTGTGATTCTGGACCCCCTGCTGGCCCTCCAAGGAAGAGTATGCAAGCTCTGTGAACTTGGGTGTTCTGTCTGCTTCACACCCACAGTCCTCCCTGGAAACCTGAACCCTGACATCAAAGGCCTTGACCATCAGCCACAGAGAGCCAGGTTCACACGAGTCTGCCCTCAGGAATGGAGCTGCTCTCTGAACATGGCGGTGGCTTTTGAGCCCCTAAGACTGAGGACAGGATGCTGAACTGCAGTTCATCCACCCAGGGTGAATGGCAACCTCGAGTCCCTTGGTTCTCTACCACACACTCTCTGCCTGTCACACCATGCATCTTCTTCAACAGCAGTGAGACCTGAAGTCTTCTAATGGACCTGCAGTCTTTCTCTGCAGGGGCCAAGTGCTCTCTACACAGCCCCCTGACCACCATGCTCCTGTCTCTCTCCCTCTGGTACCCTTTTGCCAGAAAGATCTAGAGCAGGAGGACAAGATGACATAACTGGTCTTCTCTGATCTGAGCCTGAAATAGCCAATCTCTTCCTGAAAGTCTCCACCCACCGACTGTGTCCTCGGCCTTCCCAACACACATGGCCCCAGTCCTGCCCATGGAAGTCACAAACCCACCCCTGTATCAGTGCAGGGTCAGCCCCAGTGAGAACAAGGGAAGGGAGGCTTTGCAAAAAAGTGTTTATTGGAAACCGTCTGTGAGAAATCCTGAACTATGTGCGTGCGCGCATGTGTGTGCGTATACTTGTATTTGTGCATGTGTGTGTTTGGGGAAAATGTGGTCAGTGTTCAATCAGACAGCCTTGGCCAGCCCCACACGGTTATGGGTTCTGTCAAAGACACTGTAATACTCCCGGACGAAGATGGTCCCCAGGACCCACAGCGGGGAGTTACTGTTCTCCTGGAAGCCACTGTAGCAGAAGTCCTGGCCCTGGGACAGACAAGACGGAGATGAAGTGGTTCCAGCACCATTCGCAGAGCCTCATGAGAGGTGTTTATCTGCCTCACCCCACAGTTACTCTGTATTATTCCATTTCATCCTTGAAATCATCTTCCCAGACAACTATCAGATTCGCCTCACTCAACAGATGAAAAAAATCAAGATTTAAAAACTGTAGTGACTTCGTCCAAGATGATCTGGTGAAATCCTGGAGCTCGGAGCCCCAGTCCCCTGCACTGGGCTCCATATCCCCTCCTGTCCCCTCCAGCCTCCTGCCTTCTGGCTCTCAGCACTCACTGCCCTGGTGATCAGTCAGAGCTGGCCTGGGGGCCTGTGGCATGAGTTTGGGGCACTCTGGTCAGATCAAAGCTGAGGCCAGCAGTCCTCAAAAAGGCTCCAAAAGTCCAGGCTCCCTAAAGAAACTCTGGTCAGAGCTCTAGGTCCCCAGGGCTTAGAGTCTTGAGCAGGGGATGGAGGTTCCCATGGGTGCTTGTTCCATCTACCCTCCCCTCAAGCCTCAGTACTCTGTCCTTCCTGTCTCCCATTTCTCCCATTTGAGGCTGTAGTGGCCACAAATGAGGCCTAAGAATGTATGACCCCAGTCAAAAGCGGCCACTCAAGATCCAGCAAGACTGGATTCTCCATCTGGTCCATGCTACTTCCTGTCACCAGAGCCAGAGCCCAAAAGGGGGAGAGAGGAGGAAGAGGAGGACAAGGAGGAGGAAGAGGAGGAGAAAGAGGGGTGCTAAGTGGAGCCAGGACCTCGTCTCCAGAATCCCACCTGGATGGTATACGCTAAGGGCGGCAATGAATACTTTCTTCCGTGGATCTCAAAGACAACAGTGGGCATGCCACTCAGGCTCCAGCAGTTGATGTTAAACTAAAGAATCACAAGAAGGGAGAAGGTTGGTATCCGACTGTAAGAGGCGCCCACGTTGACAGCACAGAACACCTTCTTTGGCACCATGTGAGCCACAAGGTAGAGAGGAGACCCTGCGTTCTCAGAGGACCATAAGGAGGCTCTCGGGATGAGACCCTGATCCCATGACATGGTCCTCAAAGAATCACATTGAGAGGACCAACTGTCAGCAACCCAGGGACAGACCCCAACTTGGGACAAAGAGGGGCTTGCTTCTGTGTCTTCCCCTGTAGGCCCCGCCAGAGCGCATGAGGACCCTGGGAGCTCTTGGCCAGCAGACAGAGACAGGGATACACTGGTGCTTGGGGACCAAGGGGACCCAGCAAATGTCCACAAGGAAGGAAAGCACAGCCTCCCAGAGCACCAGGAGCCAGACCACAGCTGCCACACAAAGTGGGGGCTCCCACAGCAATGGGGAATCCCCAGCCACCGTGGGGACCCAGGAATCCCCAGCCACTGTGGGGACCCAGGCTCCCTCACCACTTCCCTTTATCATTTCTTTCCTGTGAAAGGGGCCCCTATTTCAGGGGCCTCAGGGGGTGGGATGAGGGCCTGACCTTACCTGGCCGTACTGGCCAAGTGTGGCTCCGATGGCCTGCTGGATCTTGAGGATGTCGTGGGTAGGCCCGGCCAGCAGGGACGTGCCCGTGTCCAGAATGGCCTGGCAGCCACCATCACAGGCCACCACCACATCACTGATGGTGATCCTAGGAGGGTAACCAGGAGGACCTTGGGGCACATCCTTCTTCCAGCCCTCCCTCCGGAGGTCCTTCCTTCCTGCCGGCCAGACTCCAGAAGCAGGTAGAAGAGCCCCAACCGCCCCTGGGCCCCTTCCTTTGAGCCCCTTCCCAAACCCATAAAACTTCCTGAGCTCAGAAGAAACACCTGAAACCATTTTCTCCCAATTTACTGGTCAAATTGAGGACTGCCCACCTTCTATGGGTCAGAAATGTCAATAAAACAACCAATTCTAGTGCATTAAGGGGTCAAATGAGGACTGTACTAGCTGCCTAAAGATCTGGCTTCAAGTTTTCTCTCTGCCATTTATAGAATGACTTGGGCAAGTTGCCCAGTTTTTATGTACCCAGGCTTCTCATCTGTAAAATGGGCATATAAATAACCCCAGCCTTGATGTCCTCAAGGCATGGGGACAATAAGGACTGGGGTGTAACTCAGTGGTAGAGCACTTGCCTAGAATGCACAAGGCCCTGGGTTCATCCCCAGCACCACAAATAATAATAATAATAATAATAATAATAATAATAATAATAATAATAAATTTTTAAAATAGGGATAATAATGGCACCCACTTCAAAAGATTTTAGTGGGGAATAAATGAGACGGTGTCATACAATTGCTCAGCACTGTGCCTAGCAAGTTGGACATGCTCAATAAACACAGCTCGTCTTATGAAGAAAGCCGGTGAATGTGCAGCGTTACCACTGACAGAAGTCACTGGCCTCAGAACGTCCACTTCGGAATCCTATGGACATGACCATGCTGTAGTCTTTCTCAGAACCCTGTGGCCTGACACCCAGGACCCCACTCCCCAACCCAGAGTCAGGATCTGGTTGGGGCCAAGGCAGACTCTGCTCACCCACCTGTCCACAGCAAACTGCCAGTACTGCTGCAGGGTCACGGGCACCCAGTCCAGGGAGCCCACGTAGTAGGATGTGTCTATGGCCCCCAGCGTAAGCATGCTCCCCTGGCCATTCCTGGAACCAAAGCAAGGCATGCTATGGCACAGTGAGGCGTGGTGAGGCGTGCCCCAGCCACCCCTAAGGCAGAAGTGATGAACACCCCTTGCCCCTCACTCCTCTCCGCTGGCCTGGGTTTGTGCTGATGTCAGCCACAGCACCCTTTCTCGCTGGAGTGCCCAGCCCGGAGTTCAGGCAGCACCTGGAGCCCAGAGCACAGCATCGCTGAGGAAGGGGAAGTAGTGGCCCACCACACAGGCAGCAGGACTGCTGGCCTCTTCTCTGCTCAGGTGTTCCCAGCTGTCCTCTTATACCTGCACCCAAGGCCAAATCCCCTGTGTTCCTTCTGGGTTACTGTCTGACCCATGGTGAGGAACACTCTTACCCACTTCCCACGCTGCTCTCGCTTCCCAGAATCCATCAAGACCCTCTCACCCAAGGCCTAGTGCACGCTGTCCCCACTGCCTAAAATGTGCTATCCCTCTGTCTCTCTCCTGATAACCCCCCATACCCCTCAGCAAAGTTTGCCCCATCCTACACACACACACACACACACACACACACACACGCACCACACACACGCACCACACACGCTTCGACAGGATAGACTTCCCAGGTGTTGCAAAGCCACTGACTACACTCAAACCTCCCAGCAGACCTTCTCATAGTTGTTTGATTCCAATGTGTGTGAAACTGTGTGCCTTTACCCCTAGCTCGTCTCGTTTGCTGATGGGAGCCCATCTCCCAGGTCAGCCGCTGCACATAGAAGGGCCCAGGACAGGTGTATTGAGTTCATGGAGGAACTCGTGAATGGACTGTGCCAATTTACCCTTTGCCTGGTTCACCTGGCCTCAGCCACCCAGCCCCTTCTCCTGGAGGTGACCTCCTTCTCTTCCAGCTGCCACCCATCCTGGGCCGAGTTGAGCTGGATCATCACAGGGAGCAGGATCACTGGCCTGGGAGCAGGTGCCCCAAGTTCCAGGTCTGGCTCAGCCACAGCTCCCACATGACTGTCCCTCCCCAGACCTGTTTCCTTCCTAATGAAAGGGAAAGGTGGGACTCCTTTGGATCAGCTCTCAAAGCCTGTGAATCTCAATGACATGAACAAATGATTTCTGAAGTCCCGACACTTGGGAAGAAAGTTGTTCAAAGCTCATAGGTCGAGATGGGATCAGCCTTTGTTCTCTAAAAGCCAATCAAAGTACCCTTTGACCTAGTGAAATCTGACTGTATAAATGATTCTATTGGGGCCCTTGGAGGGAGGTTGGATGGATCAAGAAACCAGGAGAGGGCTTGCTTGGGTGCTATTGCCTGTGTCCAGGGTGTGCACACTGGCTTCAGCAGATAGCTCTTACCAGGCCATCAGTCAGACCCCAGCTGGACACAGCTCCTACCTGCTCATGTAAACTGAGAACAAGTCTTGGGCCAGCAGGTGCCTGTTCATCATGTTATCAAACACGGGCACCGAGCCCTCAGAGGCAAGGGCAGGATAGGCCATCCCCAGAATCCCATCGAATTCAGAGTAGGTAAAGATGTCACCAGGCTCCTGAGTGCTCAGGCCCACCGTCTGATGGGGGTCCACAAGGTCGGAGACCTGCAAGAAAGTCATTATGACCTTCACCAGGGAGTCCCTGAGGCCAGAGACTGAAAAGTCCCAGGATAGGGGACAGCCAGTTCTGGGTCACAAGCTGGTGTCCGGGTTTCAGCCTCACTGGGTCTCTATCCTTCTTATAAGGCATGAGTTATTTGATGTTAACAAGTAAAAAATCCTTTTTCTGCACTTTGGCTGTGGTTTGGAAGAACTGGTCTGACGAGGCAGGAAGCTGGGGAAGAAAGGAGGCAGAGCCAGGTGCAGAAACCAGTGCCAACATTGAGGTTGAGCCCAAGGAAGGGGGAAGGATGAGCATGGCCCAAGGCCCTCTGCAGGCCTGCGGTCCCCTGTCAGCTGTGCCTGGGCTTTCGTCCCCCAAGGAAGAGCTGTGGAGATACTGCCATGCAAAGAAAGAACATGATGCATCTTGCATCTCCAAGACCCAGTCTGGGTCCCTGTTCTGTCATGCGCTGACCGTGACCTTGAGCAAGTACCTATCTGAACCTCAACCCTCTTATCTGACAAATGGAAAACACCACCGTCTCCTCAAGGCAGCACTCAGCCTAAATCGCACGAAGGCTGAACGTTCGTCGACCATGCCCTGGGTTCGCTTACTGAACATTTCGTGGTACTACGCTGAGGAAGCATTAACTCCAAAAAGTCTTCTTAATTTGCTTATTCCCTGAATAGCCAATGTGTCCACCAGCCTACCCTGAGCCATCACTGTCACTAGCTTGGACAAGGCTGGGACTAGGCCTTCTGCCTCCACTCTGACCCCTTATAACCTATCCTCCATAAGAGGCAGCCAAAGCCGTCTTTAAAAATGGAAGTCAGGTCATGCCACACTTGCTACAAGTGTCCATCCAATAAGGCTCAGCATGAAACCTCCATCCCAGGGTCCCCTCCAGCTCTGTTCCTGCTCCTTGCACCTATCTCCCTTCCCTGGCCTGTCCTTCTCTTCCTCAGAGCTCTCAGTCCTCCCCTCCCAGGGTCTGGACTTGGTGCTCCCTCTGCTGCAACGTCCCCCTGGATCTTCTCGGGCCCAGCCTCTGGAACGGCATCATTTGGGTTCTAGCTTGCACAGGCCACCATGTCCTCTACGTCTCTGTCCCCAACCCCCAAAGCACCTCTCTTCCTACTATCCAGGTTCATTCTCTTCATGTCATTCAGCACTGTTCAAAGTCATCTGACTCAAGTGTCCCTTGTCTCCCCCACTGGACTGTAAGCATGAGGGGGGCGGGGCAGGCCCTCCATCCCTTTGTTCCCCCCACTGTATCTTCAGTCCCCAAAATGATTCGATGACCATTCTAAACCAATTCATTCTTTCAATCAACTAACGGTCATTGAGAGTCCCCAATGGGCCAGGTCCCTAAGGAGGTAACAATGCACAAGAAAAGCACCTGCCCTGGGAGGGACTCACATTCCAGTGGGAGAAACAGATGACACATTTTTAAAAGAAATAATATAAGCCAGTGCGGTGGTTCTCTGATCCCAGGGGCTCAGGAGGCTGAGGCAGGAGGATTCTGAATTCAACGTCAGCCTCAGCAACTTGGTGAGGTCCTAAGTAATTTAGCAAGACCCTGTCTCAAAATAAAATATATTTTTTAAAAGGGATGGGGATGTAGCTCCGTGGTTAAGTGCCACTATGTTCAATCCCCGGTACCAAAAAAAAAAGTAATACAGAACATGTCAGATGGCAATGAGCCTGTCTGAGGACAAATAAATCAGGGTAGGACAATAGGCAGTTTGTCACTTTATATGATGGTGAGATAGACGCCACTGATAAAGTGACATAGAGCAGAAATATATGAGGCGATTTGGGGAAAGTATGCCTTAAGCCGAGAGGGGAGGGTGGCAGAGGTGGTCCAGCCTTCGCAAGGGTGTATGTGGGGTATAATAGACTGCAGAGTAAGTGGCATAAGCTCAGAATGCTCAGCCCTGTTGAGGACACTTGAATAGGACTGAGGAGGTGGAAACCTGGACCTGCAGAAGGCTCTCAGGTGGGGCTCTGAGGGCTGACGCAGGAAGGAAAGGAGGGAGGAATAAGGTACCCCACAACTGGCGGGGGGCTAAAATCCCTCTCAGAATCCTCAACACTGAGCCTCCCGGGTGATCATCACATGAAAGGTTCCTTGGCGCCCAAGCAGGTGCAGCCCATCTGAGCCGGGGTGTCTGGGTGGGAAAGTCAAGGTGAGCACTGGCCACCCGCAGCCCCACTTACAGTGACAGTGTCGTAGCCCAGAAAGCCCAGCACGATGCCCGTGGCATACAGGACCAACAGGGGCTTGCTGAGGTTCTGGAAGGTAGAGGACTCGGTCGGGTCAAAGCGGTGATGGTTTTCTGGAACACAGACCCAGGGTTAGTGGGGTCCTCGGGATCTTTTTGCCTCTTGACAGTGCCAGCCATGGCGGAGCCCTTGCCATATTCCTATAGGAATGCAGTCTCAGTACTGGTCATTCTCTCTTTTAAAAATGAGCAGCTTCTTCTTTCTATAGCCTTGGCCCCACAGCTAAGTAAAGAAAATATTCCTTTGCTGCTAGACCCAGCTCTGGTCCCAGTGCCGTCTGTATAACTTCCACTCTATGTTCCCATGGATATTTTACTTGCACCAGCTGAGTAATCTTAGCCACGTCCCTGTTCCTCTCCAAAACTTGGTTTCCTCTTCTGTGAAATGAGGATAAAAAGAGTACCCACCTCGCAGGACTACCAGGAAGAAAGTGCCTAACATACGTCAAAGTTTGCTCTTCATTGATAACAGACCCTCTGAGTATTTTCCTGTCACCCTGGAACATCACAGCTCCATTACATAGAAAGGAAAGTGGAGGATCCAGCAAGTTAAGTGGCTGGCCCTGGCTCCCGGTAGGGACAAAGCAACAACACATTGGTTTCCCTAATTAATTTCCAGTTGGTGATTTTATACATCAGACCCAGTCTGTGGCCAGCTAGCAGGACTGAGCAAGGAGATGGGACCTAACTGGAAGACTGGGGACGTCCAGTTTGCTCTCCACCTCGGGCCACTCCTCCCCACCACCCTGACCACTGAGTGGATCTGAGTGTGGGCTGAGGCAGAGCCGGAAGGTCACTTACCGCAGGCTTCACTGTTGCAGGAGAGGGAGGGCACCCAGAAGTCTGAAGAGCCCGTGTCAAACACCACGGTGAACTCCTGGGGTGGGGTCCCAATATAGATCTTTCCAAAGTACTGACTCTGAGGACAGATAGCTCTGGATCAGAGGCAGGGGACAGTGAGGGAGGGGAGGGTCAATGCTGGGCAGGAAGCATGTTCAGGTTTATAGGCCCTGTGCTTTCTGCTCAGAGAGCTGGGAGGTCAGGAAAGAGGAAACAGAAGGAGGATTCTGGGGAGGGTTCTTCATCTCAAGCCCCCACATGTGCTCCCACCCCCAGCCACTCATGGCCTGGTCCTCTCACCACCCCTACTAACGCTGCTAAATCAACCTCAGAAGCAGACCTCGAACCAGGACTGAAATCCTGCCTGGAACAGGCACAGGGCCACCTGTCCAGGAAGGACACCTGGCCACCTTCCAGGCAGGAAGGAGCTGGACACAGAGATGGGGCATCAGCTGCAGGCCGGGACCTGAGTCCTAACCCATGCTACCCGTTCCCTCCTGCCCTTACCAGCCCTCTCCACATTTCAGAGCCAAGGCTGGGGGCAGAGAAAGGTGACGATGACCTAGATATGGAAATTAGTGCACAAAAGAGGAAAAATCTGGTTGTTTACTGCCAAGAGTAACAGAGAGAGAGAGAGATACAAGCTTCAGAATGGAAGAGGGCACAAGGAATATTTCCACCTAGGTCCTAGGTAGGAAAGAAAGGAAGATGGCGCCCATGTCCTAGGCCGGCCATTCTTCAGTGGGCACCAACTGCACCAGCTGTCCCCATTCCTGCTGAGTCCAGACTAAGACATGGCTTCCTGGGCTGGGAGGGCAAGCCCGAGGTCAGCTCAGGAACAGATCATGTGCCCTGGAGGGACTGTTGTATGATGAAGGTCATCTGAGCTCAGACCCTTCCAGCAGGGACATTGGAAACCTAAAGTCCAGATCGTCGCCTATGCCAGGTTGGTGGCCCACTGTGGAGCTACTGAGGGCAGGAATACAGCTTTCACAACCCATGGGTTCCACTGTTCCTAAAAGAAGGAAAGCCCCAGGGAGGCAGGTACCAAAGGAGCAAGAATTCATGGCTGGTTTGACTCACTCACATCTAGGTAGTTGGCCAGTGGTTCCTGGGCCACTTTCCCAACGTTGGAGTTCTTCCTGATGAACTCATACTGGTGTTTCTTCAGAAAGTCCTCCAGGAGCCCAAGATCCTGCAGGGTGCTCCTCAGTGATTTCCCTTTGTGCAGAGGGATCCTGAGGAGGTAGAGAAAATTCATGAGGAGGGCGGCTCTGGACTCCGTAAACTACCCCCACACTGCTGTTCCCCGTCCAGCCTCTGATCACCAATCCATTGACTCAGGCCAAACATTATTTTCTTTTAATTCTAACCCAAAGTAAGAAATATATTTTATAGGGGTTGTGATTGTGGCTCAGTGATGGAGCGCTTGCCTAGCATGTGTGAGGAACTGCGTTTGATCCTCAGCACCACATAAAAATAAAAAAGTAAATAAAATAAAGGTATAAAAAATACAACAACATTTTTTTAAATATATATATATATAATTTTATATCACAGATCAACGCCCAACCTTACTAAATGCAGAGAACCGACACTTCCTATTCCTTTTCTCTTTTTAATAGTGGAGACTCACTAAAGATTTATTTTATAACTCACCAAGGAGTTTTCCAACGCAATGTTTGAAAGATCTAAGTATATTATCACTCATTCAGGCACCAAACTCTTTTGCTGTGTACCTAGTATGTGCCAGACACTGTATAGGGCTCAGGGGAAAATGATAGCCAAAAGGATAGAAACTCAACCCTCCAGGAACTCACAATCTATAATGGAAAACTGTGTCTCCCACATCCTGGCAATGCTCCCGCCCTCTGCTAACCCCTTCTCTCCACTCTCTGGGTAGCATCTGTCCTAATCTGGGTTGAAATTTCTTTACAGCATTTCTCAGCACAGAGCTGGGACCCTAGGGACCTCTTGATCCAGTTTAAGTGCTAGATGATGGAATTAAGTCCTCAGAGAAGAAAGCAAGAGGGCAAAACAGCAGAAACGTATTCTAGACCTGGCTCTGACCTGTTCATGACAATTTGGGAGGTTCCCCGACCGCTCTGAGCTTCGCCTGGTGGCTTCCCCAAACCTTCTAAGATTTGCTGTGGCAGCTCCTCAGAGCCCTCCAAGGTTCATCCTCAGAGAGTCTCCAAATCTCTCTGAGCATCATGTTGGTGGCTCCCCAAAGCCCTCTGAACTTCAGGTCCCTCCTCTATTAAAAAAAAAAAAAAGTTTAACTCCTTCCTTTCCAGCTACTGTTCTAATCCTGCCATTGGCCAACCAGGTGACTTTACCTGTCCTCTCCTGTAGACCTGTAGACAGTAGAGCTTGGAGATTCCTGTGGTCCCTTCCACCTCTAAGAAACATGTGGCTCTCCTCTGGGGGCAGGGAAGGGGCTGGTTTAAAGGACAGCCTGAGACTACAGATTCAAAACTACTCTGGGAGCAATAGATTGGCGTCAATTTTCAGACTCACAAAGAGAATGGATTTTCTCAGATCGTTCATATCCCAAGTCACCATATGGATGGATGCACCCATATGGATGGGTGAATGATGGCTCCTCTTTGGGGCCCTCGCTCCTGGCTCTCAGACCTGACTGCTGCTAGGACCTGACTTTGAAATGAAAGGTCCACAAGATGTTTGCCGCCTTTGTCTCAGGTGATAGAAAAGGACTTACACGTACGAGGAATGGGGCTGGACTGAGCTCCAGAGGCCAGCCCCATAGGTACCTTTCCTATGTCCCCATGTGGAGGCCTCAGAATGCTTTCTGCTTGGCTCCAGCTCCAGTTTCTGACTGGCTCTGGATTTAATTGCTAAATGCCTGATGCCCCCCCCCCCGCCCCCCAGTAAGAAGCTGAGCTCCTGCTGAGTGGACCTATCCCAGCTCAAGGCCTCAGACAGAAGTCAGCAGTCAGAAGGCAGCACACCCCCTGGTACTGAACCAGGATGGCGGCCCTCTCTGGAGGCTCCAGTCACCAGGGAGTCCCCAGCTGTAGCTCTGTCTCTGGCCCCGGGCTGGGACTAGCAGCACCCTCAGGGACAGGGACTTCACTTTTAGAACTACCATGAAAGGCACTGACTGGTTGAAAGCACCCTGACTGGGCATCTTGGTTCCTTTTCAGGCATCCAGCTTCCCCAGGGAGGGACTCAGGCTTCCCTGTGCTCAGTCCCTGTGACAGGACTCAAACTCCAGCACCTGGAGATATTGTGACGTCACAGCAAGGGTGCAGGCCACCTGGGGCCAAGCTCTGGCTCCTCTGTTACTTAGCTAACTACATGATCTTGGGCAGCTCAAGGACCCTCCCTCCCTCCCTCCCTCAACAACAGTTCCTGCCTAAGCTATTATGATTAGTAGTGGTATAGGTAAAGGTTAAGTGCCTGGCATCTCATAGCTAACAGCTCAATAAATATCAGCTATTATTTTTGAAGGGGACCTGAACCTGAAGTCCACCCTCAGAGGACTTCATAGTCAAGAGAACTTGGTTTTGTTTAATGAATGCACATATCTAAAACCTTTACAGTGTGTCTGACACTAAAACACTTAAAAAATATCAGGTCATACCATCCTCATAACAGCCCTATGAGATGGACAGTACTATTTAATCTTATAACAGATGAGGAAACTGAGGCACAGAGAATCCAAGTAGTCCCAGAGCTGGGGATCGAATGCCAGACGGTGTGACTCCAGAAGCTATGCCCTCATCTCCCAGGGTGGCCCATCTGACTCGTTGATCTAAGGGACACATTGAAGGGAACATGCAAAGGCAAGACCCACAGAAGTGACTATCCCAGAGCCAACAGCACTCTCCCCCAAGACTCCCCAGAGCAACAAATGGCTAGAAGTCCAGGGGCACACCGCCCAGAGAAGGCCTAGGATGCCCTTCGCAGGATCTCATATTCACCTGGTAACATTGCTGCCCTGGGAGAGAGCAAGGACTGCAAGGAGCACCACGAGGCACCTCATCCTGGACCATGGGTGGCCACCAATCCAGCCTGTGCCCATCCTTAAAGCCTTTATAGAGAAACGGGGTTCCCTCTGGCTGGATGCCCAAACTTCAGAGTCAGCTCTCGACCTCAGACCACTCCACAAACATAGTGAAATAGTACCCAGACTACCTAAGACCCACAATGATAATGGCCACAAAGTCCTCCACCCGGGGGACTTCAAAGGTAAAGGGAACACCGGCTCGATCCTCAGGCTGGGAAATGTCAACACTGGCCCATCTGACCTGGTTTCCCCTCCAAGCTGGACTTGGGTGTCCATACAGGCGGGGCTGCTACCAGGAACCTGTTCCATGTTCCACCTTGTGCTTTGTAAGAGTCCGGTTCTCAACAGGCTCCACCTTCCTCCCCTCCCTGGGCTTGACTTCAGTGAAGGTGGAAGCCTGCCCTGTCCCGAAATCTCCTGGTTCAGGACTCCTGACCCATTTTTCTAGGAGGGGTTCAGGCTGGTCCCAAAGTGGCCTCTGAGGCAAAGGCTGCTTGCTCCACCTGTCACCCCAGTGAGTGGGTATGGGGGTTCAGAGCACAGAGAAGACGAGCTCCAGGTTCCCTCAGAGCACAGTCTTAAGGAGAGGGCAGAGGCTTGTGCATCCCTAAGGACATGGGCCCTTGGCACCACATTAGATGGGTGATGAGAGGTAAGAGATAAATGCCAGGTCACATGTGCAATGGGAAGAACTGGGGAGGATTGAACTGGAAAGGTGGACGGGTCCCACATGTAGGGGAAGGAAGGGAGTGTGACATTGATAGTCAGGCATAGGGCACAGGGTTGGCCAAGACTCCTTGAAGTCCCACCCAGGGATGCAAGAAGAAGCACACAGGCAGGAGGTTGTGTCAAGCAGAATTTTCCAGAACCCAGGCCAGAGAGTCTCTCAAGCCTGTAGCCAGAGAGAGACAAAGGACTGTAGCCATGAAATTGGTGGAGAAGTTCATACCCCAGGGCTGAGAGGGGGCTACAAACTAACCAATCAGGATTAAGGCAAGATGAGGCGGGCAAAATAGGAAAGCAAGGGTTTCAGAATCACAGGTGTGTAAAACACGATGACAGCTGCCCATCACCTGGAAGAAAGCCCACCTGCATGAAGGAATCCTGAAAAATGGAAGGAGGCAGAACTGGGGCAGCCAAAGGACAAGTGTGTGAAGGATCTGGACACGTTGGTCCCTCTAAGGGGAGAAGACTCCAAAGTTTCATGCACTTGATTTGTAAAGACGTCCAGAGGGACCCAAGGGTTTGAACAGAAGTTAGGAAGACAGCCAGATCCAACGCTACTGTGGCCATGTCCCCCAATACCCATGTCCTTTCACAAAGCCACCAGCCAGGTTTCTAGAGCCCAGGATGCTGTGCTCCTCATGTCCCTGGGAGTTGGCCACAGGCACATGCAGCTGTCTTTATGGTACTCACTCCCCCAAGCAGAGGGCAAAACTAACACGGAGTGGTGTGGCTTGTTTCCTGTTTTGTCCCTGCAGGACAGGGCCTGCATGCCATCTACCTGTGTGCCATACAGAGGTGCTCAAGGAATACCTGGTTAAGCAGATAACCTGCCACCATGCATGAGAAGTGACAGAAGCTGCAGGCAACAGCTGTATGATATCTTGCTGCTGAAGTGAAGGAGCCCCCAGAGGTTAAAGGGCTGGCCTGTACTGAAGAAGCAGCTTGGAACTGTCCCGAGAGCCCTGGCCTAATGCACAACACACGTCACTTCAGGACCATGCCTGCTCTTCTTCACTCCTCCTAACCTCTGGGAACCCTGTGGGACAGTCACACCTGTGTGGGGTGGGCCCTGTCTGCAGTGTCCAGGGCTTGGATCCACTGAGGTCAGCACCTTCAGGAGGGCCACACCACTCTGCTCCATGTTGCCAAAGGCCCAATGTGACCCGGAGGCAACTTCTCCTGGACAAGGATCCCGGATGTCAGATGCGGCCACTTCTGCCATTTGAAGGTGACCCTCAAAGCCAATTTAAAAAGATCTCTTAGTGCTGGTTGCTCTGTGTTTGTTCACACAATTGGCATCTTTCTAAAAGCTTTCAAGTGTACTCTGGAACTCTGCCTCAGGGGCATGGTGTAGAGAGAGATTATCTGCATGTGGAGGCCAAGAACTACAAAAAGCTTTTAGAAAAGCCATGATAAGATTTCATCACTGGTTACCTGGTACCAGGTAGGGATAACTCCCTTTGGTCTACACTGCGTGGTGCTTGGGGACTGACCCACAAAAGAGGCTAAAACAACCCTTCCCACCTTGGCACTCAGATGCAAACATCAATGAAGCCAACTCAGGTCAATTTCTCGAGCATATTCTATGTGCTAGTGCTAGTCAGGCAAAGCTAGCTGCCATCATCTCTACCCCTAGGGAACCCAAGGTCAAGCAGGGGACAGGTTAGGTCTGATAGGAGGAAATCCAAAGGAAGCCATGCTTCCTCCCCTGCTGCAAGGAGCCAAGGGGCAGAGGGGCCAGCATGGCTTCTGGGAAGTGCATGTGTGAGCATCCTGAGTCAGGTACATAGTGGTGTGACCTTGAACAAGTTTCCTTACTTTCCCGAGCCTCAGTTTCCTCTTCCATGAGGTAGACACATTGATACTAAGAAGATCACACAAGGACCAACCTTAAGAGTATCAAGTGCTGATATGTGTTGGTCCTTCTGCAAATATGTGTGGTAGGTGACTGCCCTGGTGGGACTTGTTTCCTCATCTGTGGGATTTCCTCACGGCTCACAGTGCTGGTGTGAATCTCAGGTGTGTAGGACACATCAGTGTCTTTCCTGTTGCATACGTCAACTGAATTTCTGCATGAGGACCCCATCCTTCCAAGACCAGGCGCAAGTTAACCTTAGTCATTTGGGGGCAGTGCCTCTAGGGATGTGCTTTGGTCCCGGTGACTCTCCAGCATGCCAAGTCTGGGTCCCATGATTTTTCTTGTCCCTGCCCTGCCCTAACTTAGCCTTCTGGATGGTCATATCCCCCTGGACAGGCCACCTAGCCACTCATCCCTGGTCTTGCCACCTCTCAGCCACCACCATGGAACAGGGTCCAGGTCCCTGCCAGTGAGGACCTGCATCTTTCCTCACCACTTCTCCCTTCTGTGTCCTCCCAGGAGCCTGGAGTTCTCCTGTGCTTCCAGCAACAACCCTGGAAGTCCTATCTGCTTTCTGCCCAGCCCATGGATTCCCTGAGGCAGAGAAAAAGACAAGAAAGAAAATGAAAAGACTCTTAAAAAAAAAAAAGCACAAAATCAAGGAGTGATGTGGCACAAAGCAGGGGGTAAGGGTGAGCGTGCCCTCCCTTCTTCTTCTTTCTCCCACCTTCACAGTAGTGGCTGCTGGGGCCACAGCTTGTCACCGACATCCAGCTCTTTGTCCCTGCCCAAGAGTTACAAACCCTTGAAGTAACTGGCCAGGAGATGGCCACCCCGATTAAGGTTTTTGTAGCCTCAATGGAGAACATTACCCCAGAAGATCAAGTTGGGCTCCTGGCAGGCACATTACTGGAGGCTGAGGCTACTCTAGGCCAGTGTGGGGTGGAGGCCCAGACTACTTTGGAAAGTAGCTGGATGCATGCTTGGAGGTAAAGTCCAAGGTTCTCTGGCCCAAGCTGGAAAAGTGAGAGGTCAAACTGGAGGAGGTGGCCAACCAGGAGGAGGGAGAGGAGGAGGAGGAGGAGGAAGATAAGGAAAAGAAGGAGGAGGAGGAGGAGGAGGAAAAAGAAAGGCCTGGCCAAGAGGCAGATGCAGTGCAACTGGCACTTTGTCAATGTTGTGTCCACCTTTGGCAAGAAGAAAGTCTCTAATTCTTAAGTCCTTTGCTTAAATCTTTGCTGCTTTCTTTAATAAAGCCACTCAATCCAGAAATAATAAAATAAAAATAAAAACACAAAATCCATGTCACAGAATGTTCTTGAGCCACACTAAATCTCTTTAACACTTGTGGTGTGTTTACCGCACATTAGATACCACTGCTTTACTCCTTTGGATGGTTCCATGTTCATGTTTTGGCCTGGGTCTGCAGCTCAGTGGTAGCGCACTTGCCTAGATGCTCAAGACTCTGGGTTCAATCCCCAGAACCACAGAAAAGTAGAATAAAATAGTCTCATTTGAATACATGATAAAATAGAAAGATAGAGCATGCATGTATTGGGCGGGGAATGTGGCTCAGTGGTAGAGCAGCTGCCTGGCATGCATGAGGCCCTGGGTTTGATCCCCAGAACCACATAACACACACACATATGTATCTTCCCAATTATCTCAGAAAAGTAAAGTTAGAATTTAAACTTTATTCCTAATTTTTTTTTTTTTTTTTTGTTTTGTTTTGTTTTGATGTGCTGAGGATCAAACTCAGGGCCTTGACTGGATGGGCAAGTGCCCTACCACTAAGCCATACCCTCAACCCTTGAACTCAATTCTTAAATGCACATCCTATCAATTCAATGGCATGACCCACCTGGCACAAAACTCTGCCATTCTGCAAAGTTGACTGAATTATGTCCACACTTAAAAAGCCTCCAAGACTACAGATCAAGGAGCCCTGGGGCATTTATGACTGAGAAAGAGCAACAGCACAACTGGGGGAGACCTCAAGAGAGTGGAGACCTGGCAAGCACATCTTAAGACTGTCCTGCATATTTATTAAACACCACCTCCCCATCTTTCTTCCTCCCCATAAAATGATCCCTATGCATGGTGTAATGGTTTGCTCGCCTGCTGCAGTCAGCAGAATACTTTGAGAATAGCTCCCAGCCTCCTGCAACTTTATTTGTTCTTCACTAAGCAATCCAGGCCTTGGAAATGTCTGCCCAGTGCATCACAGATAGGCCAGGTCCTCTTGGGAGAAAGTGGAGGTATGAGTTTCACCTTGAACCTGGGACAGCATATTATTAGTTCCGAGAGACAGCAGTGGTGAAGCCCATCCCAAGTTCCTGACTGGGAAAGCAGACAGGATGGGACAAAGGAGACAAGGCAATTTCTACAGCTA